AAAAAAAAAAAAATGTATAAGTAGAATGTTAAATGTGCAAATGTTATTAAATGCCAGGCATGTATCACTTTGTTATATGCCTGCTGTCAAGATGTCAAAATGAAGCCAGCTAATTTTCTTTCATCCCTGCACCATTAATTTACTAGTGATGTGCTGTAGACTTCATTAACTTTTTTATTGCTGAAAATTCAGATTTCTCGTCCATCTTGATTGGCAACTTGTGCACAGGTTATCATGACAAACATGATGCACCAGTGATATAAAATTCATCCAGGTAGTAATCGTAGGGATAAGACTAGTCCTCACTGAAAAAGCAGGAAAATTGGCCAGGGGTCCAGGGAACATGATTCACAAGAATGACCCAAATGACCCTGAAAAAGTCGGAAAAGTCTCATCAGTGTAATACTGTAAATATACCCCAGAAAATTACAAATTTTACAAAGGCAAATTTTCAGTTCTGCAAGTACAGCCTTTGTTGGAGAAATATAATGTAATTGAAACTGCACCTTGTCTACATTGGGGCAAATATTTCTCAGACAAAGGTCATTATTTCAGAATTATGCAGACAATACCTTAGTGACACTGTCTGATTTAGATGCTGTTTTACAAATGGGATGCTGAGGTGATAGTTTTGCAGGATGGCAGGAAGTAAAAGAGAAATAAAGAATCAAACTGGCACACGATTCCTCCCTCCACTCAAGGTGCTATGTTTTCCCTTGATGTGAGTATAATTGATAGCATTTAAAGCTCTTAAAGTGACTAAAGCCAGTATTTTGAATGCATCCTAAGAGCATGAAGCTTTTAAAACATATATTGACATAAAAATGCCCTTTATCAATATGGAAAAAATAATCATATTCACCGCCTCCTATACAAACTTAGTGGTCAACCATCTTAACACAGTTTGAAAATGATGCAGGCTCTTGCAATCTTCAGAAGTTTAAAGCACGGTTTAAGCAGGAATTTAAATCATTTGCCTTTTTTTCAAAATTGTTAAAGAGTTATGGTGAGTATCAGAAAAAGAAGATCCAAGGTTGGAAAGTTGGGGGGAGGGGTAATGTTGTTTACCCTGTGGAAAATCCATTAAATTTGAGATTTTATTGGGAAAACCCTGGCTTCCGGCTTGTAATGCTTTAACATAGGACTATTTGAAGTTTAGCACCTAGCAAATAAAACATAAGGGTGAGGCAACTGACTTGCCTCTCCATTAATCATTATATGAATAAAATAAAATCATATATCCTTTCTCATTACATTAGATTAGATTAGATTAGATTAGATTAGCGTTGATTTCCGATTCAGATTCCTACTGGATCCTTATCGGACTCTTCCTCCAAAACTAACTTGTGACTTCCGATGATGTTAATTTCGGACCTATAATTGTCATATTTGAGTTCCTGGTCATCTACCACTTGTCTAATCTGTTCTGAAAAGAGCCGAGGCTTTTTGCCCTGACAACTTGATAGGGTAGGCTATTCCATATTTGTGTTGTACGCACAGTGAAGCTGTATTTTCTCAAGTCTAATTGGGCTCTTTGAGGGAATATGAAACAATTTCCTCTATTACAAGACCTATGTGAATGACTGGACCATAATTTAATAAAGTCTCTAGTTGATTTGTCGTATATCCCAGTGACTAGTTTGTACATCTCAATCATGTCCCCTCTCACCCTCCTATAGCTACAAACCTGTAAGTGTTGGTAACCCAAGTTTACGTAACCTTTCTGGGTAACTAAGGTTATTCATACCCAGTAGCTGTTTTGTAGCCCTACGCTGATCAATGAATTTGCTCTTGTGTGGTGCCCATGCTGAGCTTGCATAATCCAGGTGAGTACGTACAAGTGATTTGTAGAGAGGAAGGAATGTCTTAGAGTTCAAATGTTGAAATATTCTTCTGATAATTGCGAACATAGAGTTGGCCTTCCTGCATTTTTCACTAATATATTTTTCAAAGCTTAAATTATTATCATTTATAACTCCTAAATCCTCCTACATATTTGCCTTTCTTATACAGCAGACAAAAAACAGTTATCAAAAAAAAAAAAAAAAAAAAAAAAAAAGAATATTAAAAATAATAATAAACAAATGAAATACAATGCATAAATAAAACAAAAGGTTGAACATACCCCCTACCTCCCCCCCCCCCTAAAATCCTAGCTTCCACCTGGTTCATTAGCTGTCACTCGTAAACAATCTCTACTTACAGTATAACAATTATCTAAATCATCTAACAGTCAGCTGTGTAAAGGCTCTCATTCAGTCACTACCTGGACCCTTATCGTCATAAATATTTAATAATGGCATATTTCACATTGGCGACGTGTACAAATGGATGATAACACACCTGTCGTGAACGACCCTAATACACAGAAAAGCCGCAAGAGTGAGATTTGCTCCACAAAATTTTCCCAAAATATGCAATATTATGTATTCTGTCAATTTTTGGGTAACATACTTTGCTCGAATATCTCTCTGTTTGCCAGGGGAACCTATACCTGACGAATATGCGTCTTCAAATGAATGATCAGAATTTCCCGGGAATTCATCTCTCACCTGGTGACCTTGCTCTGCAAGATAGACGTCACTTATCCAAGAGGAGCCACTTAATTTCCAGGTACTTGAATAAAATTCTAAATGACTCATATTCTTGATGTTCAGCAAGCGCTTTCATACTCCCCTGTCTAAGAGATATTCTGGAATTTAATATAACAAGTCGATTTCTATTGAATACCTAGAATTTCTGAGATATTTCAACGGAATTTATAGCGCCCTCTATTGTCATTCCTCGGATGCGTTCAATACTGGGAGGACAGAAAATCTATTCATATGAAAATGTGTTGCAAATAGACGACATCCGGAGGGGACGGAATGGCATACTTTCGTTAACAGGGACCAGTTTCCTCGAGTCTTGGGCTGTGATTAAAACATAAACAAGATAGAAAATAATATTCGAGAGTGGGGATAACAAAGGTGAGTAGGACTGTCGCATAAAAATTACGTTTCCGCTTCAATATTCCGAGGGAAGTGGGACACTTTGAAAAGTTCCGGAAAACTTTTCACGGAGTTCTCGACAACTTTTGGAGTTACATCAAAGTTACTTTTTAGTTGTTTTCAGCCCTAATTTTTGTTTTGGATTATCACGAGATGTATGGACAGTAAGATAGGAGAAGTAGACTATCAACAGGTGGCCCTTTTCGAGGGATGGGCGCCTAGATTAACAGGACATTAAGCTGACCTTTGGAACCTATCCTCCTGGAAGTAGGTCAAACGGCGTGTTCATTTCACCGGTGTGGGATCGTAGTTCGGGGAAGTGACGGGCGGGTGCAGAGTCTGCCGACAATCGTGAAATGTGCATTGATGGTTATTTCTTGGAATTTAGGTAAGCTGAGCAGAAAAGTTAAAACTGGATTTTTTTAAGCACGTGAAGAGTTCCAGACGTGTCAAGAGTTGGAGATGCATAGTTTATGCGTTGTAGACAAGGTAGTTAGCAAACTTATATCTCACCTGGGTGACCTATCAGCTCTCATAATGTTTATTTAGTATTTTAACATCAGATACATTTATTTTAAGTACATGACATACATTTCTTTGGCTGCTGGCATATTTTGCATACATTTGCACACAGGTGTTCATTTTGGGCCTTCATTTTTTTTCAATAAAAAATAAAGTTCTATTTGTAAGACAATTTAGTTACAGTATATCCTCTGCCAACATAATCAAAAGACAATTGCATGGCATGAAAGTGAAAGTTTACTTTCAGAATCATGTAATATTGATTTTATTTGCACAGAGTTATTTGTTTGCACAGGTAGTCTTAATGTAGATTCATATGTTGCCTGACCTATGTCCAGCCTCCGCAGCAGTGACCATAGGTATGTAGCGCTTGGTTGGACACAGGTGGTTTCTATACTCTGGTGTCTTTTATATACAGAAGCACACGTTGAAAGCAGAGACACCTCTGTGGTGTAAGCTAACCCATATGTAATTATAGGACTGGACATTTTCCTAAATGTGTTCAAATTATTAAGTCAAGTTTGATAAAAATCAGCTATTGATTTTATTCTGCTTTTCCTTATTATTTATTTATTTATTTATTTTTGTACTTTTTCTATTTGAAAGTCAAACACAGATAACATAGATTACTACTGTGGCATGATTCATTGTCGCATGGATAAATTTATTTATATAATAAAAAGTTCATTGGAATCAATTTCTTTTACATTTATTAGTATTATTGGTTGTAGAGACATTTACATGAAATAAATTCATACCACCAAATGGTGTTGAGGAAGTGTGATTCATGCTTTAAAGTTGGTTGAAATCCACTTTACTTTCATTTTTTCATTTAAGAATTTCATTATGTTTCTTAATGCCTTTTGTGCAATTATACCATGGTTCTTAGTATTGATTTTTTTCTGACTAAAAGCGAGACAGTGACTTTTGTTATGTCTGTGATCAGATCAAGGAACTGTCTGGGTGTGTGACAATGAGAGGCATTTTACTAAGAAGTTGTTTAACTGGTTTTTAGCCATCAGTTGTGTGTGAGAAGTCTATACCTGAGTTGAAGAGGAGTTTTAATTGCTGTGAGATTTTGAGTTATTAAATTTTTTCAATGATGATGATGAATAAAGACATGCCATGTATGAAGTTAATTTTGTTTCTACATGATGAGGTGGGACCATCTAGATATCTTTTAAAACAAAACTTTTTTCTCACAATCATTAGTGGAATATTATAATATTTTTTGCATGAGAAATATATTTGACTTAATTTTTCTTTATTAATTTCTTTATATAAGAATAATATACTTCAAACCTATGTGTTTTTTCTAAGTTGGGTTTCTATTAAAGTATGTTTGACTGATATTACCATTTATGGATGTTAGTAATGTGGCATTTTCGGGAAACTCCCTAAAATCATGAAGTGGAAAATTGGTCAAATTTTGCATCTGGCAAGTTACTCTTGAATAGTTTGAAAGATTGGAATCCACCAATTTTTCCACTTTTATTTTAGGGATGGAGTTGTTGGTATAATGTAATTTATGTTGGTTTTACAGTTTTATTTTACTATGTACTAGTGCTAGAATTGTTTGCCTGTAAATATCATTTTGAGAAATAGTTGCATCCATACCCATGTAATCTTTTCTGATGGGTTGATATTTATCATGCATGTTTAAATATATATATATAGAGATAAATGTCTGAAGACTTGAGATAACATAAATTAAGTAAAGTTAGCAATTGTGCTTGTGAAATATTGCAAAATTCCAGGGTTTTGGATTAAAAGATAAAGTGAAAGTAGAATTTGTTAAGCTTTAAATGAATAAGAAACCACTCCTCTATGACACATGCGAAAGAAAAAAAAATCTGGTGAGAGACACTGACAACATAAGACGAGGTATATGTAGCGAAATCCGGTGACTCATACAACCCTTTCTCCATATTTATCTAGCTATCAGGTTGTAGGCATGGTCTTTCAAGGTAGCTCAATTCCTTTGCTGCCTCACTTGTCGCTTGGAAGACCTATTCATCTCCCTCCTAGTTGGTCATATTGATTTTTACCTGGGCCCCGTTCCCATTGTTCTCTTGTGGGCTCAATTGTATACGGAGGTACAGGGCTATGCTGCAATTTCAAAGGAATAATAACAGCAGTATAATAAAGTCTCAGGTTACGTCTCTGGCTGGTATAGTGGGTCTTTCTTAGACTCAGGGTATGGGTATTGTGTGAATGAAGTTCAAGGAATTCCCAATTAATGGGGGACACTTAATGCACACCTTGGGCTCTGAATTGCATTCCACTTCTGTCTGTGGGGTTTGTAGTTGATCAATTCACTGAGGGAAGATTGAAAGGAGCTACAGGTGTCTTTTGAAATACTTGACCAGGGCTGTCTTTAAAAGTGTGCAAGGACCTGAAAAGGGACTCTCAGCCTGAAGAACTAAGACTGACAGTTCACTGAATTATACTATAGTCACTGAGAACTTGGCTAGTTATCCATTTTGAAGGGCCCCGAGTATTGCAGTCTAGGTTTTTTTCTGTATTTATGATACAAAACATCAGGGCCCCTTGTAAGAAAGGATAAAAAGCGGAAAAGAAAACTACCATTTGTCATTGATAAAAAAATTAACTTGAGAAAAAATGGGTAAGGCCATTGTTTTTGGCAAATAAACAAATTTTTATTTAAGTAGGAATAGGTTGACAAACAATAAGAATGTTTTTTTTTTTTCATATGAAAGCAAAGTGATGTATTTTGCTGTTCTTAGCTAGTAAAATATTTGAAGTCCAAATGCCGAAAAGTAAGTCATGTGGAATAAATGACTGAAAGCAGTATAAAATTAGCAATTTTTGGTTATCATTTTTCTTAAATGTAGCTAACTGTTACAGCAATTTGCAAAAATGTTAAAAATAGCCTTGCTATTATGATTGTAGTTTAGTAGGAAAAAAAGAGGTGATATAAAACAGTGGAATAGGTCAGTTGACTATTTCAACCAACTGGAATGAAGAATTATATCAGAATAAAAGTGTAATTGATACAGACAAGAAAGCAGGATATTTTTTATATTATAATTTTTCATTTCTTATAAATCTCATATGTGCAAATTATCCTTAAACAATGCAAAAACTAAAGAAGGCTTCATATACACTTTTATTCCTAATAGTACTAATGCACTGTGTCATGTGACATATAGGTTTTTTTACCTCCACAGGTGAAGCACCTCATGTTACTCTAGAGAGAAAGAACAGAATGAATTTTTTTCTTCATTTTGGAAACAACAAAATATTATTATGGAAAAGAACAAAATAAAGTATATAGCTCTCATTGCATATTCTTTCTAGTCTGCTATGTTTAAAGTATCTTTTGCTACAACTCCTTGAGTCTACCAGAAAAACAAAATTGAAACATTAAAAAATTGATGTGTGGGTATGGAGAGATAAAATCTACAGAGAATAGGAAGGATTAATATAAAGAGGGCTTTGCTAAAACAGGCAGCCTGCTCATTTCAGTATCTTACAAGGTTAGAAAGGAGTTAACTTATGCCCTACTAATTGAGTTGGCATCAGATATTTTTCTCTTTTATTTGATTTTTATTAGTATTTATTTTCTTCATTATATTGTTATTACCCATTAAACAGATATCCCTTAGAATGTATTCATATAGAATGATATGACAAATAAGATAAGGTGACAAAAGCATGGCACTATATATTAAAAATGGATTTTTCTGCTCTGGGGTTACAGTAGTTTTTTTTTTTTTTAATTGTCTGGGAGGAGGGAAGGGGCGTGGACGTTTCTATTTTACCAAATTAAATATTAGAAACACGACAATTTTGTGTGAAAAAATCAGATATTGTTTTTGTTCTTTTAGCCGTAGGCAACTACTTTATGATTTTGGTATTTCTCAATGCTGGTGTGAGCCTCGAAGCCATAAAGAAGAGCATGTTTGTTACCATTTGCGTGAAAATGTCTTTACCTTTTAAGCATCCTGTGATCCCAAAGAGGAAACGTAGACTGAACGTTCATAACAGTCCAGTTTCTGGATCAGAGATATGCAGAAGAGGGCCCTTAATGGGTATTGCTATCACTCTAGTTGTAGGGTTAGACAGGTCTTCACATGTTAAACTTGTGAATGCGACAGAGATAACTTGTTTAAAGTGACTTTTAGAAACTAAGCTATTAGTATTTTACCAAGTCTATCAATTGAGTACAGTTTACTTTTTGGCCATCTATAAATTTGTATGGAGTATTTTTGATGTCACTTGCACTAAAGGGAATTTGTATGTTGTGGATCTATCAGGCAATAATTTTTTATATTCTCTTTGAGGATATAAAGTCTCTTGATCAAAAATGTAGGTGGCATAAGACCCTAAAACCAGTCCTATAGGCAGCAATTTAATAGTGGTGGGGGTTCTTTTTCTGTAATACTGTACCTTTTACCATAAAACCTTCAAGCATCTGCATCAAATTTTAACCC